GCGGGCGATTGGACGTGAAAGGTGTAAATATTACAGTCTAATTCAACCTTTTATACCTACCAAACCTTGATTCTTTAGATATAGATGCTATCACAAAAAGACTACATCTATTATCATCAGGCTCAGACTAGGCCATGTATGTTCACCGGTGTTTCTGGCTAAACTGCATATTCGAAATACGTCTTTGTGTGAATGCGGGTTAGATGAGGGTACTCTTCATCATTTATTCTTTAGTTGTCCTATGTTATCAGTCCCTCTATATGATCTACTCCCACCCACTATTGTACGTCCAGTGAATGTTAGTTGTTTGTTAACTCTTGTCTATGCCCCATTCATTAAAACTCTAGTTAGATTCATAGAAATTAACAATATACGGCCTTAAGCTGGTTTATAAGATTTTTGTTTTTCGCCTTTTTTTGTTCCTGTTCCTTTTTTTTTTTTTTGTTCCTTTTTCTTTCTCTTTATTTATGTATGGCTGATGTCCCATGACTAATGACCATGTTACTAATTACTAATAAGGTGTTTTGTTCCTCTCTTTACAGGTATGCAACTGAAAGTGGTTTAATACAGTAGGTTCTTATTGTCATGTCCTTAGCCTAATCGATCTCCAAGAACCAAGTTGTTGGCAAAATCACTGACGTATCAGTGGAGCCATAGTAGGGAAAAAAAAAAAAAAAAAACAACTCATAAATAAAAGAATTTAAAAAACATGTGAATCGAATTGTGAATTAGACCATTCTCGAATCGACCTGAAGACACACAAAATTTCATTAAAATCGGTCCAGACGTTTATAAGGAGTTCAGTACACACGTACAGAAGAATTATTTATATAAAGATAATATGTTTGTATTTATGAAATTAAAGTTATTAAGGTGTATATTCACCTAGCACCCGTAGTTATAAACTTTCCTTAGTTTGGGACTAGATAACGTCGCGTGAAAATAACGCTGTCCACAGAGGTTTTGTATTAATTTTAAATATTTAATTCTTTTTACTAAACATTTTTGTGAATAATGTAAATTATTTGATATAGTTTCATTATTTGGATATTAAGATTGTTTTAGTGAATGAACCTACCTTTTGTTCATTCACTAAAACTTTGTAAAAGCTATTTGGCAGAAAAAGTTAAAGTGGGATGAGTTATCTATATATATTTATAATTTTATATATTTATAATTTTATATATTAAAGGATAGGCTAAGAATTAAAAAACGGAACAGCAAAATAACAGTTTCTTAACATTATTTTGTAATATTTACTAAGTTAATATTGACTTATACTATACTAAGTGCTACCCGCGACGACGTCTGCGTAAAATAGGCTGAAGGCGTAACATTCAGACAGAGATACATAAGAATATGTATATAAATTATAGCCTATATTTTATTCTGATGTATAAGCTTTATTAACGTAAAGTTTCATTAAAATCCATTCAGTAGTATTTGAGTGAAAAGGTAACAAATACCATTTTTACGAAATTCCTATTTAATTTGATATATTTTGCTCCTTGTATATAAACTGATGTTTTTGCTTTCAGACCCGAGATTATGAAAGCTTCATCTGACGCAGAACCGGTAGGCTAGCCAGAACCCACGGGTTTGGGCCCTCCGCTGTGGGTGGGGCCGCGCATGTGCTCATGCGTGCGTTTAACTATGGTGTGTCATCTAAGGGCCATCGAGGTTGCGGTTTGGACCGGGACCCCGATGGCCGTCGACTGTGTTTTTAGCTAATCGGTGGGTGGGGACGTTGAACCGCCCTGAAACACGGGTATACCTTGTGTACGCGTCGTGTTGGTCCCGCCATGCTCGGAGGCGAGTGCTAACTATTGCGTTTGTTGTTACACTAGCTGTGGGTGTAGTGTTATCCGGCGGCACCGTCGATGGTAGGTCCAACGTATCTAATTCCCCTTCCTCGACCGGGTCGATGAGGACGTTTCGCGGGCGACGCTTGTTGACGTTCGCCTTTGTGTCGGGTTGGTAATTTACTGCGTTTACCATCAGAGGATTGGGATGATGTTCGGCTCTATCGAAGAACCGTTTGGTCAGGTATTTAAAATATTCGCGAAATTTGCAACTTGTACAAGCGGGTAGGGTACGTGTGGGCGAAGGTCATGCATGCGTAGGACATAATAGGTCGTATGCAGGTCTTATATAATAATAATTTGTGCCTTGAGGGCATTTTACTTTAAGCGTTAGTCAAATTGTGTAGCTGGCCCGAGACGAACGCGGCTCTTTTCCGAACGTAGTTAATGTGCGTAATAAATGACATACGCGAGTCGAAAATAACTCCTAAGTATTTGACCTTTTTCTCCCAGGGGAGAGGTTGGCCATAAAGGGATATTTGCCCCAACTTTCTGCATTGGCGACGGCCCTTATAAAGATGTGACGGGTAAGTACTTCGTGTGAAGTGAATCGCCTCTTTTCGGGATTTACTTCTAATCTCCATTTGCGGTACCAATCGCCGAGGCGGTCGGCGGCGCTCTGGAGACGAGTAGTGAGTTGATTGAGATTTTTATCTGTGTAAAAGAGACCCGTATCATCCGCGAAAAGCGCGAATTTGACGTTGGGGTTTTTGGGTATGTCGCCCGTGTAGAGCGTAAAGAGTAAGGGTGAGAGGCAAGAGCCTTGTGGAACGCCAGCCGTGAGGCGGTGTCTTGTTGAAAAGGTTGGTTCAACAGGAAGGCCCGGATGGTGTGTACGAGCCTATCTGGCACTTTGACTGTGTAAAGCAAGCCGTTGTGCCAGACCTTGTCGAATGCCTTTGCGACATCGAAGAAAAGAGGCCCCGTGCTAATATGTTTCGGATGATTTAAGCCTTTCAGGATGTGTTCCGTTAGGCAGTATAATTGGTCGGGACAGGAATGTCTAGCTCGAAAGCCGAATTGTTCCGCCGGCAGAAGCCGTTGGAAAATACGTGCTCTTTGAACCTGTTTAATAATAGCCGCTCATAGAGCTTCCCCAGGCAACTGAGGACGCTGATGGGACGATAACTTGAGGACTTATTGGCTGGTTTCTTCGGCTAGCGAATGCCGATAACCGTGGCTTCTTTCCAGGATATAAGGAAAGGAACAACTGGAGAGTAAAGTGTTGTAAATAGTCGCCAGTAAACAGATAAGCGGCCCAGGGAAAGCTTTAAGAATTTTATTACTAATATTGTCTGTGCCCGGAGCGGATTTGGGTTTCAAAATTCCGATACGCGATCTTTGACTTCTAGCTGAAGGCGTCGAAGTAGAGTTCGGTTCGATTCTAATCGGTATCGGTCGAAAGCACGTTTGGCTGCATTGTTTTGTCTAATTAACAGTCGCCGGTCGGGCGGAAAGTTAAACCAATTCATCAATCAATTTCGTCAATAATTTCGACAATCATTTCGTCTAATAATTAATTAGGCAATAGATGAACTTTAGGGTATGTTTACTCTATGGTTTGGTTTCCATAAAAATAATATTAATCATTAATTACTGTTCAAATTAATATTTTAATCATTATTATATAAGTTATCATTATTATAGCTTTCAATAATAATGAATTTGTGAACATTTTATTTTGAGCAAGATGTTTTGATTACGAAGTTAAGTACGTAAAAGCCGTCAGACAGGGTTTTTTTGGTTGGATCAGGCACTGTTGGCCTTGGGAGGCCTTTAAAAATAAAGTCCGGTGGATTTAAGGTGACAGGGCACAGAGGGCACAGAGGGCCCAGCATGAACCTCGGTTACGGGCGATTAAGCACGAGGGCTGCCGAGGGAGCCTCGGCTCGGGCCGTCACGTTGTTATTATATTAATGCAGTTTTGCTATAAAATGTTAACCAAACATTGTGACAACTCAGCTATAACCCTTGGCGTAATCATAAATCACTAAAAAGTAATGACGCTAGAGCAAACAACGATAACAGGTAATTTACTTCAGGTACTTAGCCGATTACGTTCTCGAGACGCCCGATGTATCCAAATTAAAGCCGCTCACAGATTAACATTCTTGCCCACTAAGATATGGCTTTTGTTTCCCGAAATATTTTTAAGGTTGTTGGTCAGTGTGACTTATATACTGAAATGACATTAGTTTAAAAAACCGTCTCCCGTTTCGTAGAATCGTAGAAAGACAACAGCAAAATTTTAGAATAATTTATTTTACGTTAAATAAATAATAATAATCAATTTTATCTCAGCGTATTGAATTTAAATTACTTAAATAATTGTTACTGGGGTATAGTAACAATAATTTAAGTAATTTAAATTCTTAAATTCTTCTTAAATAATACGTAATTTAAATTCTTAAATTCTTCTCTTGCTTCTTTAACATTGTAAAGTTTCTGCTGCTACGTACTGAGAAAATAAATTGAAATGTTGTGTTAATTTCAATTATTCACTAAAAAATAAATCTGTTATAAAATATACAGTGCATTTTTAGGGAACCTAAATATATTAGGCTCTACCTATGAAATTGCCGTTTTGTATGAAATGTGTTAATATGCCACTTCTTCTACAGTCTATGCTCAATACTGTACCGACGAATTAATATAGCAATGAACGGGTTAAACGTTATCAATTTGCCAAGATTGATACCATAATGGCTGTGTGTTATAATTTCATGAAAATTTTATTAACAGCTAACAAACTGGGCGTTGAAATATTCGGTAAGCATTTTATCGGTATGTTACACACGTAGGTCTTTATGTTGCGTTACGTAAATATTATACTTATAATTAAATATTTTTATTAACACCATTTCCTCACAAACGTAAACAACGGATTCATAAAAAAATACTTAAAATACCGGGAATACGATGTCTTGTTAATAAATAGGCCATGGGGACGCTTTAAAGTCAAAATAAAAAAAAATAGCTGAGGTATAATTGAGTCGCGTGAGCAAAACGCCATTACAAGAGTGAGTGCTCCGCGATGTGGTGCCAAGAGTCTTAATTAATATATCTTATATTTAAGAGGTTCGTGCCTCTTCGAAAATAAAATCCACAAGCTAAAAATAAACATGCGGTTATACTCACTGTTGAGCATCGCTTCACTGGGAACGGGTACCATCGGTCGTTCGTCAACCGGCGACTGTTTCTTCTTATTCTTTTTCTCATCTTCCTGCTGCAAACCAAGAAAATCAGCGCTATCAGACATACACACCGATTGGAACGCGAACAAGGGGTCGGTTATAAATATCCACAGTTTTAATAACAAAGTTGACTATGTTTAAGTGTAATAGTCACCCGTATAGTGTTTTTATCAAGTCGTCGATAAAATCAATCTTGTCGTTCTGCTTATCAACCTTTTGCCTGATCAATACAGCGTACTATTCAATAACAATAAGGTTTTCGATAAAGTTATAGAATAAACATACAATTTAAGCAAAATACTATCTTTAGGTATAATATGAAGAAGTTCTATGCACAAAATTTATACCTATCATACTTTACACAGTAGTTATAGTTATAGTCATTTGTACAAAATTTATTTAATAGGTCTTCGATGTGAACGTTATTTTATGGCTACTATTTTTTGGATAAGGTTCTGATAAATTTCAATTATAAGATGGATATAAAGCATATTATACTCATATTAAAATAAAATCACGTGATTTTTATGCGACGTTCGTGTTTTCAATCTATTTGTGGGCGATATCAGATGTCACTAGGTGGTATCAACGCAGGATATGAGATGTAGGCAACAGACATTATTTTTTGAATTAAGTTAGCCACGCAGCCTTGATCATTAAGGCTTGGAAAAAACAAAAGCCAATAGTAATATAATTTTTAAGACCACATTGTTGCGTTACTAGACATTTTTATGAAAGGAAGCCGCTAAACCACTCGTGTCCAATATGAAACAATTATGGCAATTGAGCATAAACGGTTTCGCATCGAAATAGTCTGTGTCGCGCTTGGCAAGTAATCAACACTGGCTATCACAAGAACACCTCCGTGCGTTATGAAAAAATATGATATATCTGTCGGTAAATAAACTTTCCATGATGGACGGATAACATTCATAGGACTTGGATAGTTACGCTTGTGCTGCCATCTTCAAAGAGTGCTTCAAATCAGGTTGTGTCTTTAACCATTGCCAATAATAAATATTACGCTACACCAATGTTAGCGGAAATGGCACCGGACAATTGTAATGACAAAAATTCGGTCACTAAAGTATCTAAATAGATTGTGCGTACAGAATAAATAATGTTGCAGTCCAATACTAAAATAATTTTCCACTATATTGTATACTTAATAATTTACGTTCTCTAAATAACTATAGTTTGTTGAGCTATAGACTTATAACTTATCAAAGCAACAGTTTTCGACATAATTATATATCTTCAAATGATTTTTTCGACAAATATTTCTTTACTACGTCTCTTTATACCTATGTTAGTTGAAGCATGAAACGTTACGCTTTTATTTTAAGAATGTAATGTAATTTTTACTCAGTGTATATCAAAAAAAAAATCAAAAATATATTTATTCAAATAGACGCTTGCGCGCTCTTATGAATCGTCAAATTTTACATCAAAGATTATGTGTATAGGTTCGTAAAGTACCACCGGTTCGGAAAGCGGTTTCTGTTGAGAAAAGACCGGCAAGAAACTCAACAGTTGCTCTTTTTCAAAAATATCAGGGTACAATATAATATACAGGTATAATAGTCTTATTCTAGCCTACGTGAGTATCAACAGTATTAACTCCACACATTGGCGTCGTCGAGATATTCCGAAATGGTATAATATGCTTTAATCATCAGTTGATTTTTAATTTTACATTTAAATTGGTCAAGCGGCAGACTTAATATCGACTGTGGGATTTTATTATACATGCGCACACTTTGCCCCATGAACGACTTATTTACTTTTTGTAGACGAAACAATGGCGTAGTAAGTTTGTCCTTATTTCTAGTGTTTATTTTATGTCTGTCACTATTCTTTAGGTAATAATTAAGGTTATGACGTATATACAAAACATTACAATAAATGTGTTGACAAGCAACAGTGAGTATATTAACCTCTTTGAAAAGATCTCTGAGTGAATTCCGGGCTCCGATATTGTAGATTGCTCGGACAGCTCTTTTTTGAAGAATAAATATAGAATTTATATCTGATGCACTACCCCACAACAAAATGCCGTAAGACAAGATGCTGTGAAAATAACTAAAGTAAACAAGTCTGGCAGTGTCGATGTCTGTTAGCTGCCTAACCCTTCTAAATCGCAAAAACCGCGGAGCTCAGCCTATTCGCAAGAGATGATATATGGGGACTCCACTGGAGCTTTGAATCTACTGTAATTCCCAGAAATATAGCAGACTCAACTGGATTAATGGGTACGTTATTTAATATTAAACTAAAACTTTTCCTTCTTATACTGGGAAGGGTAAAAAGAATACATCTGGTTTTTTTGGCATTTAATACCATATTATTAATAGTAAACCAGTGGAGGATATGTGAAAGTGCACTATTCACGTCGTCATAATTTAATACGTTTCGGTCAACTTTAAAAATAAGCGATGTATCGTCAGCAAACAGTACAACATCACACAACCCACTGGCATAAAAGAGGAGATCATTAATATATACTAAAAATAATAATGGGCCCAAGATTGATCCTTGTGGGACTCCCATTTTCATCTGGGACCCAGCGGAATTAACATCATTTATAGATACTTTTTGAATTCTATTACTAAGGTAAGAGGCAATGAGATTGAGGGCGATGCCACGAATGCCATAATATTCTAGCTTTTGAAGGAGAGTTTTATGGTCTACGCAGTCGAAGGCTTTTGAAAGGTCACAAAAGACACGTATTGCATCTTGTGACCTTTCCCAGGCGTTATAAATATGTTTGACAAGTGCGACGCCCGCATCTGTTGTCGATCTGCCTTTAGTGAATCTATATTGCTCATCGTGAAAGATTTTGTTAGCAGATTTAATATTAGCTTTTCAAAAACTTTACTAAGAGATGGTAATATGGAAATAGGTCTATAGTTGCCTGGATCATTTTTATCACCACTTTTGTAGACAGGTATTATCTTACTAAATTCATAAGATCTGGAAATATTCCAGAATCTATGCAGTTGTTAAAAATAGAAGCCAAATGTGGTGCAATATATGGCATTATTGTGCTCATTAATTTTATGGACATACCCCATAAATCCTCTGTATTTTTAAGATTAATAGAATTCAAAACTTTTATAATATCATAAGTATCTACGTGATTAAATTTAAATGTGCAACTGAATATAATTTATTTTCAAATTTATTATATGATGGCTGATTGCGTTTTTTCTGTATGACCAGGTCACTTCCCATGTCTGCAGATATATTCTGAGTGTAACTTATTAAACTATATAACTTAATAAATCCTATCTGGTCACTTGAAAATAAGTCTTGTCATAAGTGGATACTTACAAAACAATTATAGTTTATCAACGTCGCATTCTTAATGCACTCCTCAAAATCTTATCTTCAAACAACTCCACTTCTTACAACTTCCAACAAAAAATAAGTTTACAATGATAAAGGTACACAAACTATTATCTTGATTAATGAAAAAAAAATCCTAACCATGGTTTAAAAATTAAATGTAATAAAAAAAATCAAAAAAAAAATTCTTTCCCTTCTTATTTGCGTCGTACTGCTTTCGACGTATTCATTTTACGTAGTCATTATTCCGAGTTAGCTAACCAGAACATTCTTGCAGCTTCATTATACTTTTGTTTATCTCACAATTATTAATATTACGTGCCCGATTTTTTATTTGAAAAGTACTAAAACATTGGGATGATCGATTTCAGCTTTTGTAACAAGAAAGCGATAGTGCTTTATACAGAAGGTAACTGAAAGAACTTATTGCACCTACCACGATTTCTCCTGACGCCCCGAGTTGACTGGTAGAGAATGCCAATATGCATTAAGTCCACCTTAATCCATCCTTTGTAATCACTTTTTAAAGTGTTTCAATAAAGAATGAATATGCTTTTGTTAATCTCTTCATAAAAAAATTGTACATTCTGTTAACATAGATATATAGAGCATTAACCAAAGTAGAGTTGTGAGTTCTTCATAAAATCATGTAATTAAGCATAAGCATTTCGTGAACCTTCAAAGTGACCACAGTCAAGGGTGGGTGTAACGAACGTTTCAAATGACATAGTTGCAAATGTTTCCCAAACATACGCAACATATTTGGCGCTCGTGTTGGCAAACACTGTGAGCTTGCTTTGAAAGATTCCAAACATTTCAAAGGATTCTCGGCGGCTATCGCAAAACGAAACGACGTTAAATTTTCCTAACGTTTAGGTAATTCAGTTTGAGATTTCATGAAATGATTTAATTTGCTGTAGTAATTACATTTTAGAAATTAAAAAAAAAAAATAGGAAAAACATATTAAAGTAAAGTAAAGTAACAGCCTATACATGTCCCACTGCTGGGCAAAGGCCTCCTCTATACAGAGGGTATATAACAAAAAAAACATATTATCGCATAATAAAAATAGTTCAATAGTAGTTATAAGTTTCTTCACGCTATAGGATTCATGGCTTTAAAGTATGAAAACCCGTATCGAATGAAATCAAATCATTTATTCATCGAAGTAGATATATACATTTCATTTAACGATAGTCATTTTTTTTAAATCTACCACCGTTTCGTAATGAGGTTCCTCAAAACAGGCGAAGGAAACTTCGTAGGTATCCTCTTTTTGTAATTCTTTTTTCTCAAATAATTACATTGTTAGGTATACCGTATATTTTTTTTAGAAACAGCTTAGGAGCAATCATCTCATTCCCAAGGGTCGTTATCATTGATGTATTCATTTATATTATAAACCCTATTAAAAAGTTTTTTTTTAATAAATTTCTTAAACCTGTATATATTTTAGGCTCTAGAAAGCACATTTTCATAAAGAAAATATAAATAGCAATTAATACATATGTTCAGGGCATTGCATTTGTTACAAGAAAGAAAAAAATAATATAGACAATATACATTTTTTCCTTATATTATAGGTAGGTGTCAATTTGTGGGAAATATGAAAAACGGTGTAGGTGCTCTATCTGTATCGTATAAATATCGATGGATAAAGTATTGTAATGCTCTATCGATGCCTAGACACAGCATTATGCATTTTAATAAAAAAATAGATTAATCTCTGAATTCGTACTTTGATCGGATCGTCTTAAAAAAATTTTCTCCGAGATGATGGCAACAATTAAAAATAGAATTCACCCGATGGCATATGACCACCAGCCAACATGGAAATCAATACGTTGTAGTACAGTAGCGATGCTTTAAGACGTTGGACCCTCGTTATCTCTAGTCACCTCGCTCGAAACACAAAACATTAAATATGGTCTTGTTATGGTTTTATTCCTAACTGTTCGTGCGAAGAATTCATACATCCTGGAAATGAACTTTGATCACTAGAAAGATAAACGTGTTTAAAACTACGCTGCTCTAAAATATCTGTCATCTCTACTTTTTGGCGGCTTGTTGCGTTGCGTGTATACACTCTGGCCAGCTACAAATAAAAAATTACAACCTTTGGCACTGAAAATTTTGTTAAATCTTTGTCATTCCACAAGCCTATGGAAAAACTTACAGCTAAATAAAATAATTAATTGTGCAAGTACCTACTAAAATTATTTCACAACCAGGAAGTATAAAACTTTGTTACTTAACCTATAATTGTTATAATGTATTTTTATATAGATAGGCGCCATTTACAAGACAACATTCACTTCATGTGAATGAGAAGTTGCGAGAAAATTACAAGTCAGACGTAGCTCCTTCTAGCTCCTGAATGTAGCGTGCCGATAGTTCAAACAGTTATTGGGAGTTCAATCACATCCCCTCGGTCAACTAAAGCATGGTCGACCGATTCATTGTTTGAGTATATTTTAATTTACCTTTTATTTTACAACGAATACGTGAAATTTACATATTTAACCCTATGTTGTTTAAATTTGCACCATTCAATTATTTGCCTGACGTGTCTAAGTATTCTAGTTTCACGCCATAAGGATGGATATTAAAGAAATCGAAACAAGGAAATAAGTAAGCACTGAGCTTATTTAAGCTTAGATGATTATACTTTCATACATCATATATACATATACTTTCATACCTCATACTGAGGGAAGGGGCAAAACGCGTGACAAGATAACTAATTCCATATTCACTGACTTGCAATAAAAGGTTGCAGGTTCAAAACTTAGTGGTGTGATTTTGAACCTATAGACATAACTAATAAAAAACGGCTTTTTTGTCAGGTATATGAGCCCGCCTTAATATCTGTTATATTCTAGGATTACTTTGTTCTTTCTACCCTATTTGATTTTTTTTATAAAATTGAAACTTGTATTTCCTTTAGATAATTTAAATTAAGACTTACCTTCCTCCTACTTCTTGACGTGGTAGCCATTCCCTGTAAATAAAATATTTTGCTAATTATATGTATACTTGTATCTTTCTACATTTTTGGAATACGATTAGCTTTAATCCAAAGTCTTTAATTTGAAAAAAAGAAAATAAATGTAATAAATTGATTTCTTGTACCTATCTAATACATTTAAACGAGCAATTGTTGTATATATATATTCCGAATCTCAGAAACGGCTCCAGTGATTTTCATGAAATTTAGTATGTCCGTAGATTCGGGGGCGAATCGATCTTAGCTAGATCGATTTTTCGCCCGGTTTCATTTTTATAACAGCTCGATCGGTAATCGGACGGCCCCGAAACATAAGGCTGCGGTTCGTGTCACGATCATTTATATACTTATTTGTTTACTTTTTTTCTATACCAGATCATTGCTTTCACCAAAAAAAATACCGAGCAAAGCTGGTCCTCCAGGTACTATAGTAAAACAAAGAGCATAATGACAGTTCGAAAATATATTTTCGTCTGAAACACAACTTTCATACAAGATATTTTTTTTTATTTTTATTTTTTTATTAAGCCATTATTGCTGAAGAACTAAACACAGTACAATCTAAAAGTATTAAAAAACTTAAACCTAACACAACCTAACACGGGTTTTCCGGTTTAGTGATCAGCGTGTCCTGTGACACATAGGCCTCTTCCAGCTGTTTCCATTCATTTCTGTCTCTAGCTTTTCTAGACCAGGTAGTGCCTCCGATATTTCTTATGTCGTCTATCCATCTTTTTGCCTGTCTTCCCCTTTTCCGTTTTCCATCGCGTGGTTGCCACTCGGTTATAATTTTTGTCCATTTTAACTTACTATCTCTCGTGATGTGTCCTGTCCATCTCCTCTTCAACTGTCTTACTTTCCTTATTATATCTTCTACTTTGGTACTGAATGGTATTTCAACTGCTCTTAACCGATGTTTTTAGTGACACCAATCAAACTTCTTTCCATTCCTCGCTGACATGATCTCAATTTTAGAAGATGTTTTTGATTTAGGGCCCACGTATGGCTCCCATACGTCAAGCAAGGTAAGACGCACGAATTGAGGACTTTTCTTTTAGCTGCCATGGAAAAGTATTTGCTTTTGAGTTTCTCCTTGAGTGACCAATATCTTTTCCATGCACAAGCAACTCTTCTTTCGATTTCCATGTCCGTTTGATCTCTGAATGATATTAACTGTCCCAGGTATAAGTAACTCTTCACGTATTCAATGCTTTCGCCATCTATTGTTATCACTATTTCATCCCTGTTTGTCATTACGTTTGTCTTAGATTTATTGATGGTAAGACCCACTAATCGACTAGCATCTGATAACTGTTGCAGCATATGTCGCAGTGTGCTAGGGCTGTCAGTGATTAATACTAAGTCATCTGCGAATCTTAAATGATTGAGTTCTTTCCCGTTAATATTTATGCCAAAATTTTTCCACTCTATGTTCCTAAATACACTTTCTAATTTTATTTATTTAATTCAGTAATAAAGTACAATAACATAAATTATTCTCTGCCAAACTGTGATGCAGTTTGTCGGCAGCAGTTCTCGTGAATAGTTATATCGATGTACTTCAACCTTACTAATATGACACCTATGTATAATATCTATATATATGTCTATGTATAATATATATATATATATATATATATATATATCATCTAAATACAATTTCTTAATTATAAGTACCTATAATATGTAAGTTTATCAATTTATAGTATGAAGTAGAATAAAATAAAATAAATATCAATTTACTTGTTTGCGTGTGTGTGTGTGTGTGTGTTTATGTTTGTGCGTGTATGTACGTGTGTGTTTACTTGTGTCTGACACTACAGAGTTGACTAATTACGGACATAGGGATAGGTAATGTTTTCTTAATTTGTTTTTCAGCTCATTTTTATTTTTTGCTTCTAAATAATTGTTACGTGGTAATTCATTAATTAGGACCGGTGCAATCCAGCGTCGTTCCTGCTTACCATACACATTTTTTACTCTAGGAATTACAAGACTTGGCTTTCTTATTGAGCGAATTGGATAATATAATCAATATATAACCCTTTTCTTACCTATACTCATTGTTGTTAATTTGCTCACATAAGATGTGCAGTTTTACTTTAAAATCATATCATGTACTATAATGCAACTTTAAAATCATATCATCATCAAATAATGAACATTTTTCAAATTTCCACCAACTTTTCGTTTGATAACCTTAGACAGCTGAATCCAAAAAAAAAACTCCTTTACAGAAATTGGGTACATCGCCTTGAAGCTACATCAAAGGCTACAAGCCGTGATGTGGCTTCAAGGTGCTCTATTAATGATCGAACTGGAGTTCTTTGAATAGGCCACGTTATTGTGAATTGCCAGACATGTTCGACTTACGTCAAATTGGCCATGTATAACTTAAGGCCCACGCAATGCTCATTAAATGGCTAGACCTAACATTAAACGTCTGCCTGACGAAACCACACCTGGCGTTGCGTTCGATTTAAACACCAGTACAGCACGACACTATAAGATCATTTGTCTTAATCGCCACGCGGAATGTTGGCAGTCATCGAACGAATGATTTCGCCACAAAGACTCTCCTGTCAACGGAGTGTGTTTCAGGCCGAGCTAAATATAGAATGATAACACCCCCATATATATCTTGCCAAAGCCCCATTAATAACTGTAATGTTACACGACACAAACTAAAGACCCTTCAACACAAATTACTCGTAGCTACAGATGACCAACATAAGGCCCTTTGATTTTGTAACAATTTTCAACAAAAACACCAAATCCAAATTTTCAATGCATCAGTCATCAGTTTAGTAAAGATTAAAAGAAGATTTATTTAAAAATCTCACAAATATCAAGTCAATGCCCGACTGAGGAAAAAATTACAGTCCTACATTTTTTCTCATATCATTTTTAAAATCGTATCCATCCCTGATAGCAGCCTAGTTGTAAAATAGTAGAACGTCGATCTACTTTTTGTCGCACGACTGCCGCTGCCACACATAATTCGGTACCAATTTTTTTATTGGCTATCCTCCAAAAGATTCTTGGATGAAACATGTTAAATATTTCTCCGAAGCATTAGGGACTTGCCCACTAAAACTAAAACTATCAGTTCTTAGTGACCTACTAAACATTTTCGAATGACTTTATCGTGCCGTAAATACCATCTCGTTCGTAATTACCCAATAAAATACACTGTAAACAGTCTATTTTGAGCATTATTTAAATTTATGAAAAAAATATTTAAACCTTATTATTACAACAATAATTTATTTCATTAAAACACTATTTCTTGTTAAATATAAAAATTTAAAGAACCTTTTTGCCATAGAAATTACACCCTATACTGCTTGAGACAAAAAGTCGTATGTAAAGTATGGTATTCCAAACCAATTAAACATGTGACATTATTAACAGTGAATTATCAAATTCTCGTCTTAGTATGTTTTCTAGGAATCGTAGAATTTAATGAATGAATCCAAGCGTATAGGGTAAACCCAAGAAATTCGCGATAACACGACAACGTCCTCTAACCAAGTCGCGTTAACCTGATCTTTGATTTGGGAGCAGGTTTCAATTAGAAATAGCAGGAGCAGTGGCCGAGTTGTCTATCTTCTATTTATAACCTCAAAACCGTACCGCTTGATACGTACCACTCTACAATTCCTATTTCCCGCCATACGAACGAATAACAAAATTGCTCATCATTCTCCTTTCTTTTAGTTTTTGTTTCCAACTCCACAGTATGATATACGAGATTCAAAGATATTAATTATACAATAACTTCTTTTTAAACTTAACTTAATTTATAAATCGTACAATGTAGGTTAAATTTCTTGAAAACGCAAAAACAAACATATCATTTGTAATGAATGAAAATGATTACTAAAATTCTGAATGTAGCATAGGATGTAGGAAAACAAAAAGCGATGAAAATATATTCATATTAATAGAACAGTAACATTCTTACGGCTTTGATATTTGAATCTATCTTATCCTTTAGACGAGAAATTTTTGTATATATATATATATATATATATAATCGAAATCTCGGAAACGGCTCCAGCGATTTTTATGAAATTTAATATGTGCATAGATTCGGGGGCGAAAAATCGATCTAGCTAGGTTTCATTTTTAGAAAATGTTCTTTTATCCTAGTTTTCAGTGAATGAAAAATATCATTCGAATATGACAGTAAATTTCGCCGCAAAAAAAATGTTATTATAGCTCGGTCGTTAATGGGGCGGCCCCAAAACAGACACCCGCGGTTCGTATCACGATCATTTACACACTTATTTTTTTACTTCTTGTTCTATACCAGATCAATTTCTTTATTTTTTTTTTATTTCCGAAATACATGATTTACCAAAAAAAACCGAGCTAAGCTCGGTCCTCCAGGTACTTTTTAATTAAACAACCATTTTTATTTTCAAAGCACAAAGTTCAAATGCCAAGAAATATATACTGCTCAAAGTTTAATTTACGACTACTAAAGCCTTTCACTACTGACGTAATCAGCTCCATTATTAAAGTGTTCAACGTGATAATCGATCTAAGCGTCGTACCGTACATTTTGAGATTACTATAAGTAATAACTAATGACTGTCAATAATCCTATTAAAGGAAATAATCCCTTTGTATACCAAGACAGCTGCGTCACTCAACTTAATCTTCGAAAGAGGGCAAAGACGGAGTCACACTAGCGGATCGATGCGGTCGAACCTTAATACGATGGAAGCAACCTTGCACTACGGCTGCCCTTGCCCCTGGTGGACACGTGGCAAATATTACGCACGCCAAATGATGCGTTATGCGCTTTGATTATTTACTTGTATATAATACTAGCTGACCCGGCAAACGTTGTTTTGCCATATAAATTATTTGTAGGGTAGAAAAAAAAGTTTGGGATGGACCACCCTTAACATTTAGGGGGATGAAAAACAGATGTCCGATTCACCACTCTGGCCGATATGCACACAAAATTTATCGAAAATCGGTCGAGCCGTTTCGGAAGAGTTCAATTACAAGCACCGTGACACGAGAATATTAGATATTTGATTATATACAATTCATAATAATCAATCAAAGCGAATTTTCCGTTCGTACGTAACGCATAGTTGCTCCTAAATTCAATTAATATCTAAGAAAGAAATCAAACAATGGTAAAACTGCTATAACAAAACTATGTCTTTGCTATAGTAAAATTATTACCACTACGTACCTACTAGTTTAACTGACATTTAAAACCAGTAATTAAATTCAATCAATTGTAAGTGGCATTAGTTGAAATATTATAATGGTTTAGCCTTCCTTTAATTAGTAATTGATACTCGAAATCGAAACTAACTGAAAAAAACGTGACTAGTGCAACTACCACGACTTTTTTAACGACAAATATATTTAATGATTTTAGTATGATTTTTTTAAGCATTTAGTACGATTTGCTTTCTTTTTATTTGAAACATTGGTGTTACTGTAGGATAACACTATCCCAAGTTGAAAGGACGTATTTTCATGCACAAATCTCACGACAAAGACCCAGATTCGAAAGAATTATGTGAGTTATTACTCACATAATTCTTTCAAATTAAATATAATTCTTTCGAAATACTTGTGTGACTCACAGTATTATAATTAATACTGTGAGTCACATAAATAGTTGTCCCGTGTGGGAATACGACCCCAAGACCCCCGGGCACCGAAGCCAATACCTTGGCAACTGCGCCACAGAGACATCAAAGGAGCTTTGAATCTGAACAAATCAAAATTAGATATCAACGAAATGGTGACATTATTTGATCAAATCATGTTTAATAACTACTTTTCCAAACACTATTGTTAGAAACATTGTATGAAACATGGTACTAAAGTCATTGAAAACTTCTTTTTGTAACAAAATAATGAAATAATATTATTAAATTGAAAATGTATAAATACTTACTTAAAATTTCACTTTAAAAAATAAACTTATTTGATTTTTTAAAAGCACAAACTATTGTAAAGAACGTAGCGCCGCACGACTAAAAACCGAGTGTCCGCCCTCTACGATTTCAGCCTAGCACATCACCACTAAAAGTTCTATCAGTTGTTACCTTTAAAAGATACGAGTAATCAATGCATTAACAATTAAGTATGAGCCCAATTATGAGATGAGAATATTATAGGAATTATTATAAGCATTAGCAGCAGCCGAAAGCCCTCAATTTTCATTTAATTGAATCTTTAAAGGAATAGTTTTCTTCTTACTTCATTACATTCGTATAAACCTATTTGGTCTACAAACATAAATACTTAGCTCACTTACAGAAGCTTAAATAAAAACAAACATGCACTTTAAAATCAATCCTCAAGAATAATGCATCCCAATCATCTGTTTTTATTAATTAGTACACAAGGATATAAGTTAATCGACGTTTGACTGATAACGGTAATGAATAATACGACACACTTTTCTTATCTATGGCCGGTGTGAAAGTTACGTTACTTTATATTTAGGAGGGGGTACAATGAATTAAATATCTTTTGTACCTATGTTACTGGTAGTGGTCGCGGCAAAAGGCACAGGAAGGCGGGCAAGGCGGCTAGACGTTCGAGAGCTAACGCCACACAGCACGGCCGTGGTAACGGACTTGCAGAGTTCGCGCGAGTGCCCGATGTCACGCTTGGCCTTTGTACGTCGCGCGGCGGCGCGTTTATTGCGCGGGTATTTCGGTATATCACAGCCATCGGACAAATCACGGCCGTGCGACCCGGCTCAAACGAGCACTCTAATAATAAACTTGTTTATATTTTTTCATTCCCCCCCCCCCAAATGACTTTTTAGCGTCGCCCATCGGCGCTCGGTGCTAGCGCCGGATGTCTTCCGCGTCCACGTGCTGGGCGGCGGGCTTTTTACGCGGCACTTCGGTTATTAGCGTTGGAATTTATCGGGCGGGAAGAGTGGAGCGTTGGCGCCAAAAGCGCTTCGCCGTTGTCGCGTAGGAGGAGGGGCTGCGGAGGGGGGCGCGCGGTGCCGTACGTACCGAGATCGTGTCGGAGATGGCGCTGCAGAAGGCCCCGAAGCCGGAGTGGGCGGGCGAAGGCGGCGGGCCGCCGCTCGCGCGGTCCATCGCGGTGTGCCGCACCCGGTGTGCCCCGGCGGTCGGCGGAGCACTGCGCCCTCGCGTTACATAAACCTCGCCCGCTACTCGCTCCCACCTGTCTGTTGTCGCTGCGCTCTGCCATCACATGGTTGCAACAATAACACTAAATAATTATAGACACGTTATTTCGAACGAAATTCCGCTTCTAGCGTAGGAGAGCGATTCTTCTCATTGAAAGTTACGCTTACAAACGAATGGGTTGGTTCTTGTTTTAAAAAGTGGGCGCAAGACGTGAACTAGTCGAAACATCCCAAAGTCGTTTTCATTTTCAGGTTGTTAAGCAATAAAACGTCGAACGATTTCCTTGCCATGCAATCTTCAGCCTTGAAATGTATTTTTTGTGAATTACATTATTTTAACTTCTCAAATATATATATACTTAATTTTACAGTGCAAATCAGAAATTCTTACATTTTATTACTTTTTAGCGTTCTCGTTGAAGCTCCATGTGGCCGTGGAATATTTTTTGTAACAAAATTTGTCGACTTCCCGCTGTCTGCTTGCTTACAAACTAATAAATCTAAAGGCGTTAAACGAGTTTTATAAGATTATGTAAATAAAAATATATGTCTTAACAAAGAGCCGTTATTCTATATGTTTTATGTGAACAGCTGCAAGATTTTTATTTATCATAAAAAGTTTTGTGTCCTCTTTTTCTTCTTAATTTATCACAAAAAAGTGTGGATGTGATAATTTCTATGATTTTTAATTTCAATTCTGGAGGAAGTTAGATCTGATTAGGAAATAAATCAGTTTTTGGATGAGGATGACTGCCTTTTTCTTCTGTTAAACAATTAAAAAGTTTTGATATTAATTTCTATTAACCTACTCTAGCTATCGCTAATCGTAACAAGAGGCACAGTTCTAGAAGCGAATTTATATATATAAATATATATATATAAATTAATCTTAATTAATCTTAATAAAATTAATTATAAATTGGTCCTGTTGTGTGTGCAAAAAAAGTGAAATCGGATTTTACTTTTTTTTTTGTTGTTGTAATTGTTATTATCAGGAGAAGGTTTGTATGAAATGTTTTTTTGGTTGGTAAATATGGTTTTTTTTACTAGATAGAGTGATTCAAGAGGAAGGTTCATATGTATAACTCATTGCACCCGTGCGAAGCCGGAAAGGGTCGCTAGTCTCCAATAAAATTACATAAATAATGTACTTTTTGAATTTATGAATTCAAGGTCTTGATATTATGATATCTGTGAAAATTAATGAGTATATTATATAATAATTGTACTTCATAGGAATTAAGACAGTTTTCTTTATAATAATATCGATATATTTTTTGTTTAACTTCAAATATGGCAAATAGTAAAAACTTTGTTATTTATTTATGTATTTTCTTACGTAAGTTTTGATACTGTTTTCATGTTACTTTTATAGATTTTACAATAGCATTATTTTATGAATATCAACATTTTTCTTGTTTGTCCGAATGAAGAATAAATATAAGCATTCTTTATTACATTCCAATCGTTTCAATATGTGGCATTCTGCACCCGAGACTCGCAGCTGTACCCTTTGAGACACGTATATTTTTGTAACAAAATCTGATTTATATGGGTCTACACAAGTGCTACGAACTTCGTCGCATTTTTATGCGGTGCTTTCTAAAAAGAACAAACATATCTTTAAATCGTATTGTTACATTTTTGTGGCTCATCAAAGAAAAAATAATAATATACATTTGATACCTGCCTCGCATCTGTTACGAATCACAACAATAATGTGACCGGGTCATGAACGTAAGCAATAGCACAAGGCTCAATACTGCTCAACCATCTTCCATAAATAGTGATTAATATTGATACATAAATAAAAACATACGAGTAGTTCATACATACAGGCCGTTGATACAAATCACAAAACATAAGATCAAGTGTAGACCAGTCACTACTAATAGAATAAATTCTTTTAAAGACAAAGTGGCACATCATATGTTAAATAAAGATATAGAAGTCAATAACCCTAATGATTCTTATAAATCAATGGTTGACTTTCTCATATCTTCTTATAATGATACATTTAAATCGCGCACAATTGTTAAAAATTCAAAATTAGTGACTGGGCAACAGTGGGTATATATAAAAGTAGGGATTCACTGTATGAATTATATAATATGAGGCAGTGGAATCATGACCCCAACTTTCATAAAAGGATATAAATGTTCTCAAAAATATTTAAAAAAGTCTGTATTCAGGCAAAATCTATTCATATAAGAAATAGAATAATAAATTCAAACAATAAAATTAAAGCCACATGGGACATCATTACCCGTATATCTGGAAGACCCAAGATATTCAGGGAACCTATAAAACTGGTTATAGGTAATACTCCCATAACATCAGATAATGAAATTGTAAGTAGTTTTGAAAGCTATTTTTCAGAAATTGCAGTTAATGTCACATGTACATTAAAATCATCTCCCATAGATGCAATTAACGTTCAAAGAAATAATGTTACCTTTTGTCCACACACACTTAAATTTAATCAAGTAGATACTTATGATATTATAAAAGTTTTGAATTCTATTAATCTTAAGAAAACAGGGGATTTATGGGGCATGTCCATAAAATTAATGACCACAATAATGCCATATATTACACCACATTTAGCTAATATTTTTAACAACTGCATAGATTCTGGAATATTTCCAGATATTATGAAATTTAGTAAGATAATCCCCGTCTTCAAAAGTGGGGATAAAAATGATCCAGGAAACTACAGACCTATCTCCATATTGCCATCTCTGAGTAAAATTTTTGAAAAACTAATTTTAAATCAGCTCTTAGTACATTTTAATATGAACAAAATTTTTCACAATGAGCAATATGGATTCACTAAAGGCAGATCGACAACAGATGCGGGTATCGCACTTGTCAAACATATTTATAACGCCTGGGAAGGGTCGCAAGATGCAATAGGTGTTTTTTGCGACCTTTCAAAAGCTTTCGACTGCGTGGATCACAAAACCCTCCTTCTAAAGCTTGATTATTATGGCATTCGTAACATCGCCCTCAATCTCATTGCCTCTTACCTTAGTAATAGAATTCAAAAAGTATCTATTAATGATGTAAATTCCGCAGGGTCCCCCATGAAAATGGGTGTCCCACAAGGATCAATCTTGGGCCCATTATTATTCTTAGTATAATATAAATGATCTCCCCTTTTATGCCAGTGAGTTATGTGATGTTGTACTGTTTGCTGACGACACATCGCTTATTTTTAAGGTTGACCGAAATGTATCGAATTATGACGACGTGAATAGTGCACTTTCGCGTATCCTCCACTGGTTTACCATTAATAATATGGTGTTAAATGCTAAAAAAAAACTAAATGCCTTCTTTTTGCCCTTCCCAACGTAAGAAGGCAAAGTTTTAGCTTAAAATTGAATAGCGTAACCCTTAATCCTGTTGAGTCCGCTGTATTCTTGGGAATCACAGTAGATTCAAAGCTCCAATGGAGTCCCCATCTATCATCTCTTGCGAATAGGTTAAGCTCCGCTGTTTTTGCAATTAGGAAGGTTAGGCAGCTATCAGACATCGATACTGCCAGACTTGTTTACTACAGTTATTTTCACAGCATCTTGTCGTACGGCATTTTGTTGTGGGGTAGTGCATCTGATATAAATTCAATATTTATTATTCAAAAAAGAGCTGTCCGAGCAATTTATAACATCGGAGCCCGGAATACACTCAGAGATCTTTTTAAAGAGTTTAATATACTCACTGTTGCGTCTCAATATATTTATTGTAATATTTTGTATGTTAAACATAATATTAATAATTATCAAAAGAATAGTGACAGACATAAACTAAATACTAGAAATAAGGACAAACTAACTACGCCATTATTTCGCCTACAAAAAGTAAACAGGTCGTTCATGGGGCAAAGTGTGCGCATTTATAATAAAATCCCACAGTCGATATTAAGTCTGCCACTTGATGAATTTAAACGAAAAATTAAAAGTAAACTTATGGCTAAAGCTTATTATACTATTGCCGAATATCTTGACGACGCCAATGTGTGGGGTTAATACTGTTGATACTCACGTAGGCTAAAACAAGACTATTGTACCTTTACTATAATATTGTAAACTGATTTTTTTATTTTTTTTAAAAAAGAGCAACTGTTGAGTTTCTTGCCGGTTTCTTCTCAACAGAAACTGCTTTCCGAACCGGTGGTAACTTACGAACGTGTTAATTTCTTGTAAAATTTTGACGTTTCATAAGAACGCGCAAGCGTCTATGTGAATAAAGATATTTTATTATTATTATAAAATGTAGCACCGACCGTAGCCTTTTTATCTTAACGTACTTTTCATCGCGTTCCAATGATTTAACTTTTGAGCTATTCCATAAAATTTTTACGAGTCGTAGCATCTTTATTGGCAGACGCAAATGCATTAATTATATAAAGCCACAATTATATAAAGGTATATATTGTTGAGCTTCAGTGATTTGAAGCTCACCTGTTCACCGCGGTCACTTTAATGGAATTTCAAGGTCACCACCCCGTTCGATGAAGACGAAGTTAGTTGCTCTAGATACATAAAGTGTGTATAAAGCGAAAGATAGGTTTTAAATACTGCTGCCATACATTTAAGCCGTGGTAGATTCAGGCATCGACGAATTTGCTCTTCTTTAAGTCTTCTTCTATCTAATGTTGGTATAATAATGATGGATGATGTTGTTCTTTATGTATTCTAGAGACTACAAAAAGCGGTTGAAGAACCCTTAGAAAGACGAGTTTCCAAAAGTTTGATAGAGACCCCACACAGAAGGGTCACGCAATCTTAAACTTTAAAACTTTTTATCGAGAGAGTAAGTTAACTGGCGGCTTACAAATACTTTAAAATGCAACACCTTAGGTAAGTTTGCCATCTTCGTAAAATTCTTTCCTAAATTAAACCTAGGAATCATGTTGGATTCGAACCTAGAACGGAGCACAAATTCAGCTATTAAACAAAAACAATAAACAGCTGTTAAAGCAGAAGCGTCACGATTTTTTTATAACGCATAACCTTGTAAATATTGAATAATGTGGATACCCGCTACAATTATGGAAATATTTTGCACATAAAACTGATAACTGCCACAGTAGTCTAGTCTTATGACAATGTGGTTTCAATCTGTTTGGATTGTAAACATTTTGATAATAAACGTATTCGTTGTGCTAACCGAGTCCAATAGAATTAAAAGAGTGATCAGTGGAATTGACATCGATTGTGGTAATTCGTTCACATTTTTTTTTATTTTTCACAAAATCTCATTCTTTATCTTATCATTTGTAACAATACGATTGTAATGTTTACTGAGTGTAGTAGTATTATCGTAATGATATTAAAAAGGTTCGCATGTTCGAGTGGCGTCATTGAGAGACGCGCAAAGATCGAGCCATTTGTGCGGTGCGGT